ATATATATATATATACACACATACATACATACATATTTCCTCATTATAAAGCTTTTTGTTTTCTTTTTTTTCCCCACTGAATATAGCTCCAGAAGGCAGTCGGGCCAGAGATCACAAAGAACGACCTGGTCCCAGCCTTCCAAAACCTTCTGAAAGATTGTGAAGCTGAGGTTCGAGCTGCTGCTGCTAACAAAGTCAAAGGTAGGAGAGAATTGTCTGAAGGATAATTTTTTGGGTGAAGCTTGTTTTAGTTTCTAGTTGGATGTTTTAACATTTTGTCTTTTTTTATTTAATTTTGGTTAGAATTCTGTGAGAATCTCCCGGAGGACAATCGTGAACAAATCATCATGACTCATATTCTGCCTTGTGTCAAGGTAAACAAAAACCTTTTCTGTCCACCACATTGTGGTATGTTTCTGTTGCTGCATTTCCTACTTTCACAKGAGACTTTTTGAATAGCTTTCATTGGTTAACAGCGTGGGAAATAAAGAGGCATATTTTTTTACAGTTTTTCTTTTGTATGAATGGTTCATTTTGGGGATTTTGGACAACTGGTTGTTTATCTTTTAAAGTTTCAGACCTGAAGTCGCATTGAAAACCTGGTTCCTCCTTACTGGTTTTAATACCAAATTATTTATTTTTGTGAGTCCAGTTTGTACACACTCAATTTGTTTTATTTAGTTGGATTTCTACTATTTTAATAAAATATGAATTGTCCAGATATCTACTGTTAAAGCATTATCTTATTTTATTGTTGTTGTTTTACTTTATAGAAGTGGATTATAAAGTATCTCAATGCATCATTATGGTAAATTAGTCTTCAGCTTGTGTTAGGCATATTCTGAACAACAGGTGGCACTGTTGTTTTCTGAGAAGAACACTTTAAGATACTGTATAGTTCTTCATATTAGTGCTTTCCATCATTTCCCTGAGGACTGATTGGTAAATAAAAGTGAAAGTAGTGGTAGTACAGGCTGATTTACTTGTAAATTCCTGGACCTATAAAGCAGTGTTTTTAAATGGTACCAAACCACATCAAAAAGAGTCACTGCTTATTCTGTCAACATATCAACAGAGGATCCAAGTTATGCAGGTAGCAACAAACTTTCACACATTCTTGGAAAACTAAATTTAGTTCCACCCGTATGAGCTGCATATACAATACTATAGTGAATGTTCTGTTGTTCACTTTCACATGAATTAATTCTAACCTTCCTTTTTTGTATGTGTTTTAAATATTTCTTATAGCAGAACACCTGATATTTGTTTACAGTCCTTCCTAATTATTTTTTCTTTCGATGTCTCTGTGTCTAATCCCTGTGCAGGAACTTGTTTCAGACACAAACCAGCATGTGAAGTCAGCTCTGGCCTCAGTCATTATGGGCCTGTCCACCATCCTGGGAAAGGATAACACAATAGAGCACTTACTGCCTCTCTTCCTGACTCAGCTTAAGGACGAGGTAACTAAAATGGAGACTGGCAAATGTGGGCCCAGTAGTTTTTGGACTATAGTCACCTGGTTTAAAAGTTGTCAAAGCTGCTCTTTGTTTAAGTGGATTCATGACCAGTGCYTCTAAAACAATCGTCAAGTTTTCTTTTGCAGCATTTTGAAACAAGCAAAGGCAAAACCAACCAATGCACCTGGATGGGAAAGAGGATGATTCATGTATTTGGCAGTCAAACTTAAACTGACTAATCTGGGGAATGATTATGTAGAGAGAAGCATAGTTAAAATTAGGACTAAGTTTTGCAGGGAATTTGGATACTGTAGTAACTAATAATTTAGTAATTTAACTAGACACACATATACTTAGCACAAAAAGTAAGGAAATTTGTGTTTAGCAGATTATTTCGATATTGTAACAATTTTTCTTGGCAGTTGGTTTTGTAGTGGGCACCTGATTTGCAGCACGGGGGTGGGGGGGGTCTAGTCTAGCTATTTGTTTGATTTAAGAAACCCGCGGCTGGTTGGTCCCGAACCTGTCGGGACTAAATGTCCCAGTGAGTAAAGTGTCTCTCCCCCTCTCCATTTGTCTTCTTCGATGAACTGAGGTGGTCAGAACCCATGTCAGTACTGTTACGGAACATCTTCGAATATTAATGTCCCAGTTTTCATGACAGCCTTGAGGAAATTTGACGCTTCACCTCAAGTGATTAAAATTGTCATCATTTTTGTATACTGTTACCATATTTTCATACCGCATTATAACAAAATACCTTCATACTGCCCAAGCCTAGTTGGAACAAAATGTCCCGTACAGTTAGTCACCATTTAAAATGGAATTTGACAGGTTTCCCAGTGGTATAAGATTTATTGTCAAGAAGTATTGTTACAACAAATTAATAATCTACAAAACACAAATTTCCATACTTTTTGTGCCAAGTTCATTTATCTGTTGGGGCGTGATGTCATTCTTGGTTATCTGTATAGGCATGTGTTTTGATATTATTCAGTCTTTCAAGAACAGAATTCATTGTCTGTGTCTAAAGTGTCAGTTGGGTAGTTTGTTGAAATGAATGCTTGTGTATGTTGTTTCTTTAACTCAATAATCTAGGGTGACAAAGGCCTCACATCTTACTAAATAAATGCATTGCTTTGGTGTCAGTTTGAGATCAGCTTTGAGTTTAGTAGGTTAAACACAAAGATAAGTTCTCCCACTGCTGTTCCTTAGTCCTATTTAAAGATGGCCCATTTTCTTCTAAGCACAACCATAAGACCAAGAGTGTCTAATTAGATTACAGTAGTGACTGACAGCCTTGACTTGCATATTTTATTTCAAGGTGTATTTATCAATATTTTTAAAGCAGGTACGGTGGGAGTATTCTGCAGACTTACTGTGGATTTATGATATCCCTTTTAATGTCACTACGGTTTGTCTTTTTGCTTTTCTGTTGCTTAGTTTAATTGGCCTCTCTAAGTTTAGTTTTGTCCGTTTCTATGTCTCAGTTGTTAGTTTTGTTTAAACTGGGACTAAAGCAGATCGCCATGTAAGGCTGTTTGGTATAAACCGGGGAAATAATTCTGGGAAAACAGTTTAGTTGGAAGTTTCGTTTGTTTAGAGTAGCTGAAGTGGCTTTGCCTGACTGGATTTTAAAAATGTGTTTGTTGAAGGTAAAAGGTCACATTTGATGTTTTTTCCAATACCCGAATGCTTTTGTTGATAAGTGATACTGAATTATTTACTTGATCCTTTTTTTGTTTGTTTGTTTGTTTGTTTGTTTCAGTGTCCTGAGGTGCGTCTCAACATCATCTCCAATCTAGACTGTGTGAACGAGGTGATCGGCATCCGTCAGCTCTCTCAGTCACTGCTGCCAGCGATCGTCGAGCTGGCTGAAGATGCCAAGTGGAGGGTCCGCCTGGCCATCATAGAGTACATGCCTTTGTTGGCAGGACAGCTGGTGAGTCACATGGTCTGGTCCAGGGGTCTACAACCTGTGGCTCTTCAGCCTCTCTGAAGTGGCTCCTTGGAAACTTACCACAAAGTGACACAAACCCGAATGTTTCTGCAGAAGAATGACAACTTGAAATACTGACAAGTTTGTTTACAAGTGTGAACACATGATTTCAGCACCAGCTGAWACTAATCATTCTAAAACTGTAGTAAGAACCTGGTCTAGTATATTAAAAAAGAAATTACTTTAAATACATTTAATTAGTGCTGGACCTGTATATCTCAATGGAAAACATTTCAATAATGGTGATATGACGTCTCAAAAAATTCAATCGGTGTACATTTTGTCAGTGCTTGATGACATACACCACCGGCTCAAAGGCTGTGCTCAGCACTACCACTCAGTTTACACTAACAACAAGCTACCTGCAACACAGTGCGCCGAAATGAGCTCAACAGCAATGGGTGAACAAGGGTTTACAGTTGGAAAAAGAAGCAAAAGAAATGGTTAAAATAGAAAAGACTAACATAATTCAGTGGCGTGGAGGTGGTTCAGGTATTGAAGGTCTGATAAACTTCAGCCTTCAGTCGGCTGTAACATGTCTTGGAGAGTCTGGTGCCGACTCGCAGCGGGAACACATCAGATCTCTTCCACTGTCTGATAAAGTTCCACTGGATAGAACATTCTGAGTGTATGGAAAATTAAGCTGTGTCGAGCAAGTGAAAGCCGACTCTGCAAACACAGACTGTTATGGCAGATCGTTGTGATATAAAATCGGCTTCACCACACTTGCATTCTACATATCTGAAATTGCATATTGTAATATTTCTAGACATATTAGTTAGGATTTCTCTAATTATATTATGACTAGAAAATACCTGTTTATTTCATTTCATTTTTATGTCATTTATTCATTTATTTAGAAGTCAAAAAGTCCATAAAAAGTAAATTAATTACTTAATGAAAAGGGTGCAGAAAAAGGAAAAATAAATCTTATATCTGCCCATATTTGTAACCATATCATCCAGCCCTACATCTAATATGTTTTGTTTATAATCAGTAATATGTACTAATAAATTTCTATGAAGACCTAAAAGTTGCTCTGCTTTGTTTCCTCAGGGAGTGGAGTTCTTTGATGAAAAACTGAACACCCTTTGTATGGCCTGGCTTATTGATCATGGTAAGACACTTCAGTGATAATCTATAACAGTGTGGTTACATTTGCTCCAGTTAATATCAGCACAGTTTCATTATTTGTCAAAGCTGCTGTCTAAAAACGTCACTTCTGTTTTCTGTATGACCACTTCTGTTTATTCACCTGGGCAATGAGCAGYKTGATGTCTTTCTGGACTGATTTCATATAATCAGCTTGAYAGTGAACCTTAGTGTGTTAAAGGAGGAGGCTGATGAATGTATAAACTGAAGCAGTTGCAGGTTGAAGAAGAGATGAGATGCGACAGTCAGCAGCTCTTGACCTTATTGCACATGTTAATAAAGTGCTCTTTATTCTTACATGCGACTCAGTTACGGTCGTGTCAGGTCCAGTCCGGTTCGGCCAAGTGCGAGGAGCTCGCAGAAGCGTGTGCAGGAAATGCGAGATCGTGCAGTAAATCCAGTGATAATTGTCYAAGTCAGAGCAAACTGATTCATTCTGTGGTAGATGCAGTAAACACAGCTGAAACTGCATCCATGTTTTTGAAACTTGATTTCAGAATAATATCRATGTGTATTTTGTGTATTCATATGCTGCTCGCTGCATGTTTCTATCAACTTTCCGAACAGAACCATACATTTTGACAGCATTCATGTATAACTATTTCCATATATTCTATATATTTAAATCCTATTTATTAATATAGCAAGGGTTTCGACAAAACTGGTCTGTCTTTGGTAAATTGCTTTGAAAATACGGAAGTTGTGCTTGTTACTTTTCCTGTTGGTGCYACATGCTCTTTGTAGATTGASTCCGGAGRGGCTAGTTCTTATTGCAGGTGTTGGACAAAATCATTGGACGTACGCAGCTTCGCATATTTATATAGGCGRGACCACAAGMTATAAAGCAGACCAGMGTGTCGTAAAGACGCCCTGACACCCCTCTGCCTAAATGCCTGCTCTCTAATACTGTACCTGTGTCAGCTACATTAAGTTACAAATGTGTGAACTAGGACTAAAGTGGCAAGTTTTCATCAGAATGTAATAAATTATAGCTAAGCTAATCTACTTTGTCATACCTTTTTAAGSTATACTTGTTCTTTGAGATAACCAACCACCTGTAAATAATTTATGTTGTTGTTTTTGGGGTTGTTTTTCACTTCCCTCTGCTGCAGAGGATTTTTCTTTCCAGCGAAGTTATCATATTCTAATCCATTAAAAGTTGTGTACATGTACAACACACCCTGCTGCGTGTTAGGGCTCAGAAAATCCTTCCTGTGCATGTCATGTTCTCTTGACATTGGGTTTTCCAATGAGAGAGACGCACTCAGCGTTGAAGACAAAGAGCCAGCTGGATTYCATCATTGGAATGCTGTTGGTGTGAGTTTCTGTGTGTGAATGGCTGGGGTTGATTTTGATTTGATTTATTGATTTAACAGGAAAAGATTATTAAAAATTGAGCCTGACTCAGCATAATTGCTGTTTTACAGCAGGTTCCTGTTCTGCAGCACATAAAACACTCAGAAATACAGCATCACAATCACATCATTAAACACCATAGACACAAAGACAAACAAGCATACCAAATTTCAGGAAGGCGGCATTTGCAAAATAGGACGTCTAAATATGAGCACAACAAAAAGTGTCCAGCAGATGGCAGACAAGATTCTTCTTAAAGGGCTGTAGTTTTGAAATGGACTTCATGTTTTGAGGAATGTCGTTCCATGCTTTAGTATAAACATAGAAGAAAGACCTCTGGCCGTAACAGTTTTTAAAAGTTGGTAATGTCAGTTGTCCTTTTGTAACAGATCTAGTTGAATGACCACTTCCAGAATTTGATTTGGGCAGCAATGCACAGAGAGGTCCGTAATTGGCACCTTGGAAGATCTGAAAATATAAATTAATACCACTATACAAAACATAATTCTGAAAAGTCAAGGCATCAGACAATGAAAGAACTGTACAGTGATGAGTCCAACCAGGAAGTTTTTTATGAATTTTGTAGGCCCTGTTGTAGAGCCTAACTATGGATTCTAAGATTTCATTTGTTGTAAGAGACCAAACAGGTAAACAGTACGACATGTTTGAGAGTATAATGGCATGGAGATAGATACTGTATTTGAAACAGAAGATGTCAGGTTGGATCTAATTTTTGAAAAAACGTATAATTTCTGTTTCAACTTAGTGGTTAAGACTTGTACATGATCACAATAAGTCAAATGAGAATCCAAAGTAATTCCAAGATATTTGTAGGTAGTGACTAGGGGTGTCCCGATACCAGTTTTTTCAAGACTGAGTACAAGTACGAGTGCTTCAGTTTAGGTATTTACCGATACCGATACCAAGTAGCGGGGTTCGTGTGGATTATCTGTTCAACTTGTTGAATATTAAACAATGAAAATGAAATGCAATTATCATAGAAAAATTGATGGGTAAATATTATGTTTGACAATAAAAAGGTAGTGCAAACTCTGCCAAGTAGATAAGTTGGTACAGTATATACAGTATATCACACCATAACTTTTGAAACCATTTATTTTATTTCAAACAGGGCTCTTTTTAATAAGGCCATACTCCCTCTGAATGTATTAACAATACAAATACTGCAAAACAAATGCTGTTGCATACATTAAAAAACAAAATAAGATATTTTTTATACATTTTCCTCAACATGCAACTACCAAATTTAAATTAAAATGTAAACTATAACGTAAATTTTAGCAGCACATCTATAGAAGTTTACTCTGCTTCAGTCTTAAACTGTTAACAAAAAAATGACTAATAGTAATAAAGTGCAGTAAATTTCGGTTCAAACTTAAATAGAATAACTAAAACAAAATCTCAGAAGAACCAGAGGGAAAAATAAAATGCTTTTACAACAAACTTCCTTCCATATTCTGCTTATGTCTTAGTTTGTTCTACAAGAAAGAAAAAACAGCATTGAAGTTACTGCAACAACTGCTGCACACAGTGCTGTTTATGAAGGCTACTACTAGCAGCAGCAAACTCTTTGAATTCTTTGTCATGTCTTGTCCTCAAATGTTTAATCAAATTGCTGGTGTTAAAACATCCAACTTRCGCTCCTCCCCTTGACAGTTTAGCAGAGCACAGCAGACAGTCTGCTTGTTTGGTGTCCTCCGTGCCGATCTTAAAATATCTCCAAACTGCCGACATGTTACTTCTTCTTCTACCGTCATTGTTCTTCTTCTGTTATTRGGGGGTGCGGTCGGAAATTGTCAGTGCATTAGCCTGGTATGGATTGTTGTTTACCCTTTGTGCTGCAGCGCAGCCAGGAGGGGACAAAAGCGGTATCGGTTTAGAGTATCGGCCGGCTTTTACGAGTACGAGTATGAGTACTTGATGCTGGTATCGGACCCGATAACGATACTGGTATCGGTATCGGGACACCCCTAGTAGTGACAATATCAAGGGGTTTGTTTTAAAAAAGTGAGTTGATTTGTTATATTGAAATGTCTCCTGGGTGAGGAAAAATACATGCACACAGTTTTTTTTAACATTAATTGACAAAAGATTATCTTGAAGCCAACCATGAAATGTCTGAAGATCTGCTTGTAACTGACTATTAATAGGTTCAGTATTGAAATCAGACAAAAAAAACAAACAGTATCATCAGCATACATTAAAATATTTGAATACTTCAATATTTTTGGAAGGCCATGTATAATAGGAAAAGCAATGGGCCCAGTATGCTACCTTGCGGAACTCCCACGGAACAGGGCAGAGACCCGGACACAGAGCTTCCATGTTTCACAACCTGACACCTATCAGTCAAATAAGAGGAAAACATTTGTATTGCAGATGATGAAAGTTGAAAAGAAATCAACTTTTGTAAGAGAGTATAAAGATCAACTGTGTCAAACACTTTACAAAAATCAATATATACAGCACCAGTTACTTGACKTTTGTGCCACCCTTACATAAGCTCTTTAAAGGACAGGGCTACAAGAATCACTCTGTATTTATTCCCGCACTGGCTCTGTAAACACTTAAAATCACATCACTATTTCTACAGCCTATTAGGGACACAATGTCTGGCGTTTTGTTCTACTAAAATTATGATTTTTTATTTCTTAGACTATTGACCCAGGTTGTGTGTCTGGAGTTGCTCAAATGTGTGCATATGRTATTCTTTTCCATGAAAATAGCTTAAACATAATTTTTTTTTGGTCAAGATCTTGTCTTTTGTGTTTTTAGTAATAGGTCTTTTTGTGTTAGGGTCACTTGTAAAACCAGTTTGTTACATTTTGTAGGATCATATTTCAGGTGTCAATTCACCCCAATAAATGGATGAATTAAAATTCTAATTGTTTGGTAATCATTGTTTAGTTTTTAACCAATCTACCCTTTTTAAATTGATAATTTATGTAATATTGAAAAGACGAGACATTCAAAATGTAACTGTTGGTGTTTTGTGTGTGTGTGTTTTTTTTTTAGTGTATGCCATTCGTGAAGCAGCCACCTCAAACCTAACCAAGCTTGTAGAGAAGTTTGGAGCCGAGTGGGCGCAGAACACCATTGTGCCCAAAGTGCTGGGAATGGCCAATGACCCCAATTACCTCCACAGGATGACCACTCTGTTCTGCATCAACGTGAGCCAAAAGCATTTTCTGACATTTTATGCTTACTTAAGCTGAATTCATGCTCTGCTAAAAATGAAGAAATCTGCAAACCGTAATGTAGTTATGTTAGAAAAAATAGGTTATTCTGTTCAGTCATGAGCTCTGACAGCCTGTTCCCAACAGAGTCTGGGCAGAATATTTTCTCTCAGGGTTATTTGTCACCTCTTGTGGGACTGGGCAGAACTTTGTTGTGGGTGTGTTTATGTGGAAAAGACGGTGAACTACAATACTCCCATTTAGCTCCAATGCTCTGCTGAGACGCAGCTAGTGAGACAGCATGGAGACACAGGWGGCTCTCTGTGGCTGTGCTAGCTGAGAAGGAATAKACCTCAGCCAGGTTGTATAGAGACACGTTCCCTTTATTTTCTCTCAGCCGCAGTCATTTTATGACAAATTTGCAAGTTCCAAACAGTATTTACTACCTCAGTCTGTAAAATTCAAAAGTCTGGTTGTGGTAAAGAAGCAAATATCTATAGATGGACAATAATGTGGAGACCTCAGCGGGAAGAAATTAGTTCTGGCATTGTGGGGRGGAAGCTTACCTGGAGTTCTGCACAACAGTTTCTCATTTATGTTTATGCAAAAAYCAGCATCCTGCAAGAGACCAGATTTTAGAGTATAAATTCAACTTTAAAAGTTTAGGCCAGAATCTATAAAACATGTTCTTTCTATAAAATGTGTTCTTTCTAAATTGCCTGCAAAATTTGACCTGTTGACTTTGGTTCTGTGTCTCAGGCTTTGTCAGAGGCTTGTGGCCAGGATATCACTACTAAACAGATGCTGCCAGTAGTCCTAAAGATGTCCAATGATCAGGTGGCCAATGTGCGTTTCAATGTGGCCAAGTCCCTTCAGAAGATCGGACCAGTCCTGGATAGCAAGTATGTTATCTGCTTGTTTCCAAAGAGAAACTGTATCAAGTGGAGAACAAGGTTTAATGAGTTTGGATTTGTCATCTTCAGCGCCCTTCAAACAGAAGTGAAGCCAGTGCTGGAGAAGCTTGCCTCRGACTCAGACATGGATGTGAAGTACTTCGCCCAGGAGGCCATTAGTGGTGAGTGTTTGTCTCCTCGATTATTCTATAAGGTCTTAAATCACATGATTTGTACTTTTCAAACATCAGCAAGATAATTAAAGTTTTTTTCTTTCTTTCACTTTCTCCACAGTTTTGGCCCTAGCGTAACCATCTCAACATGCCTAAAGCAGAAAACCCCCATAAACAAAACCACACAAACAGTTCTACAAGATATTTATTGATGTTCAGGAACATCTGGTTATTGTATAGAGAATAGCTGTTAACAGTTGTTTTACTCAGCCACCCTCCCCTACAATTTTTTTTATTTTGTTTTCTGTGTCCAGACATCCTGAACAGCCTTCTTAGTTAACTGTCTTTGCTATAAATGGATGCTTTTATACAAGCAAAGTAAGATGAAATTGAATTAAGAGGTGCATGCTAACTAATGTGCTACTGTACTCGCTAGGCATTGCTAACAGACCCCCCCCCCACTCTTACATTCCTCCCTCCCTCCCCCCACTCTCTCCCCCTGTAGTCCACTGTTGTACTTGAGCTTTGCTGCAAACCGTGTCTGTTTGCTACTTAGTAGGGCTCTGCTCTGGACCTTCCCTCTGAGCTAGATGGAAACTTTCAGCTGCAAATGGTGCAACAGGCTGTTTACTTAACTAAGCTTCCTCCTGAATCAGCCCTTCAACAAGCGCTCTGTCCCCAGAGACACTCAGCTGGCTTTTCACACAAGTGATTTAAACATCTGTGTAGGTCAAGTAGTGTTTTTGTTTGTTTTTGTTCCTCCTTTCCCCACCAGACCAAACCTGTCCTTTCCTAAATGCTTTATAGGATTTTATTGTACAAACCCCTAACAAAGAGAAAATATGTGTGTTTGTTGATGATTGCATGCACTCATCACCCTCACTTTGTACTTTCCCATCTCCATCCACCAGACCATCATGTCCTCCTGCACTGTTTGTTCTCTGCAGCAGCACAGATATCACCTCAGCCCGATGTGTAATGGGGACCAGTCCAGTTTTAGCAAATTACTCATAATTACCTCGTCTAAATCCTGATGATTTTGTTGATGAACCACAGTAGGAAGCAGAAGTCAGTTATGTTTTTCTGCATTATGTTGTCAGTGTTGCTCTCAATCATTGTGCTAATGATTTTGAGTAGTTTGTTTTTAAGTACGCCTCAAATTGTTTTGGTCCTGCCTTATTGTGTAAAACGACAGCATTCTTTTCAGAGTGGGACATTTACGCTCGGTAAAACAAACTAAGAACAGCTACGAAAGTAAACGCAAAACCACAGAACTCTTATTCCACCTAGTTTTCTTTGTAAATCCTTGCCCAGTTCTCTTCTGGAGGGATGTTGGGAGTCACTCCTTACATCTTTAGAGCAAGTGAACTGGCGCTCGCTTTCAAGGAAAAACAGTTGGGTGTGAGTGTGTTCGTAAATCCACTTTATGTTTTTATTTTGGGTGTGGGAGCTGGGGGTGTTTATAAGACGGGTTAAATAAACTTGTCGTTTGTGTTCATAGACCTATTTTTTTTGTCTTTTCCTAACAACTCTTATTCCCTTCCCTCTTATTCTGTTCTCTTAAGTAAACCTTGAATGTTGATTGTCCTGTATCACAAAACAGTGCTTTGATTTGTATTTTGAATTCTATTTGCAGTCTGTATGCTGTACTACTGTATCTTGATCCGAATAAAGTAARACAAACCAGTCGTCGCCTGTTTTCTGCATTACAGATGGGATCTCGTCAAAATTTAAATGTTTACTACCAGATAAAATGCGTTAAATAAAAAAAATGAAATATAGGAACAGGAGTTTTCTTTTTGTAGATGACRCTTTTCATTAAAATGTATATGTTCTTGAGATATTTTGCTAACAGACAAATGAGCGAAACATTCTTACCCTTCCACCTTTACCATCAGTAAATAGTGGTAAACACTGCTTTGTGACTGTTTTTTTTATTTTATTTTAGTATTGCTCTTCACTCTGCAGACACCACAGGGCCATGTTGTCAGTCTCACGTGGTTCTGGTCTGTTGGCTCAGTTCTGATCTGGTGGACAGTTGCTGAGCAGATGAAAGTGAGGATCCTCTGGACTGTTTTGACCACAGGGACACATGCAGAGCAGGACAGGSTTGGACCGACTGCTGGTGCTGTGAGGGAAATATCTGAGGGCAAAGAGAAGCTTTTAGACAACTGGATTTTGAAGCAGATCTGAGATTTTCCTTGTTTCATATTTGCGAAGGAGCAGTGAACAAACAAGAAGAATGCAGACCCTAATATAAATATTCATATATTCTGCTCAGATTTGTTGAGTAKAGAATGCAGGTAAATGTGCTTTGTTTATATTGAGTGTGTACCTGCATTTCAAAACTTGATATCTGCTAAAACTGAAATAAACTTATAACGCAGTGTTTGATGTAATTCAGAATCAGCATTGTTATATTTGATTTCAGTTTGTAATAAAAGCCTTTAAATCATAAAGCCCATAATTTAGAATCAGGACGATGATTTTCTTTTCAGCAGAAACCCATCATGAAAACGATTTGAAAACCAGCYGCTGATCCGCCCCTGAAATCCACTCGAGTCCATCAGGTAGTGATAAAACAGCAGCAGCCTTTGTTTTTCCTTTGTTTCAAATTCTATTTAAATCCAGATTTTTGGGAGGGACTTCAGCAGCTCCTGACAGAGCTGAGAGCCTTGACGTCAATGCTGCTGCCTCCCAGGACTCTGTCATTTATGATGAAAGGAGTCGAGCAAAGGCCCCCCACACAGCATGACACACACACACACACACACTCAGAGAGGTCAGCTCCACTCAGGATGACAAACATCAGGCCCATTGGCCTGCATGTTTTCTCCAAGTCACCTTGTCCTCTCTGCTCCCTCCTTTTCTTCCCATTGTTTCGTCAGTCTTGCTTCTTTTTTTTAWCCCCCTTCATCTTCTCCAGGTGGGATCAGAGGATTACTCGAGSATGTTTCACTCCAGCTCAGAGGCTTTTCAGAACCTGCTTTTTTTATTTGTTTCAGGCACTTTTTGTGGGTCGTGTGAGCTGGGATGTTTTAGACTCCGTCCATGTGCTGACCAAAGTGTTCYACTCAGACAGGAAAAGATGGAAAATGACCTCTGATGAGGAGCTAATTTAAACCAAATCTCTAGACTTTACTGCACRTTCAGTAGCAAAACGAAACCCTTGTTCGTGTTTATTCAACAAACGTCTCGATGCAAACGTTAGTCCACGGTGCCCCCGACGCGTCGACGCAGTCGTGCAGCTGTAATCCTGAAAGATGCTGTGATCTCCTGCTCTTAAAAAAAAAACGCAGTAGGATGCTGTCATCCATCCTTCTCTGGTTGTCATGACAACCACTGATGTCATCACTATGTGCTGTGGCCCCTCTGAGTGAGAAGGGGCCTCTGATATTGGGATTATTTTACTGAAAGATCAGCCCCCCCTACACACACACACACATCAGCTATCAGCTTTCTTTTTTTCTGTCTTGTCACTGAAGTGTGTGTGTGTGTGTGTGTGTGTGTGTGTGTTAGAGATCTCAGCAGCTGCTATAAATAACTGCACTTCATTGGAAGAGTGATGGTGTTATTGCAGGGGGGGTGACTTACAATGAAATGTTGTTTTATGTATGTTTTTTTTTATTTATGTTTTATGTACTGTAGTACGACTTTTCACACCAAAACTAATTATATGATATTTACAATGAGCAAAAAAAAAAAAAAAAAAAAAAAAAACTGTTAATATTCCATTTAAAGTTGATGTTGTGGAGATTAGTAGCATCAGTGAGGCAAAGTTTTTGGGTGTTATTATTGATGAGAAACTGACATGGAGACCTGATATAAATTATTTAAGAATAAAACTAGCAAAACCTATTGCATTGCTTTACAAAGTAAGGGACTTGTTTAATGATAAAGCTCTATATGTTATATAACACATTAATTGTTCCACACTTGGTCTATTGTGTTGAGGTATGGGGTAAAGCACGTTAGACTATTACACATCCTGTTTTTGTTTTGCGAAAAGCTATGAGTTATCACTCGAAAACATTACTATTATCCATCTAATATATTATTCTGTAACCTGAAATTATTGAAATTGTATGATTTGGTTGATTACAATATTTTGTTAGTTATGTATAAGGCTCACCATAACACAATATCTATAAATATCCAGAAAAACTTTGCAAAGAGAGAGAGAGCTATTATAATCTTAAGGGGACAGAGTTGTTCATGAAACCTACATTTAGAACCTGTTTGAAAGAACGGTGCACCTCAATCCAAGGAGTCAGATTGTGGAATAATCTGGAAAATGATGTGAAAAGTACCAAATGTGTTCTAGAGAATGATAAAGGTTGGATTGTTGGAAAAATTATGGAACAGTTTAATGTGTGATCATATAATTTGTTGTTCTAGAAAGATTTGATGATCTTGTCTTGTTTTGTTAACTAAAGATTACTGTTTGAATTGAGACCAAAAGGGCAGATGTTACAAGATTTTTGTTCTTCTCTCTGCTTCCTTTCATTTCATTGTGTTTGTATTTTTTATCGTATATATATAT